ATATATATATATATATATATATATATATATATATATATGTGCATTCACATTTTCACCAGCCACTCTTGGTGGTTTTGAGAGCAATGAAGCAGAAACATTAAGTGACCTTGAGGTCAGGACAGGCCAATGCCAAGTTTATAGTTTTTGAAGCCTGGCTGATCCCTTGGATTTCTGTCTCAGGTAGGCCTCCAAAACCCAGGAAATCTGACATCCCCTGGTGAGTTACCATATTTCGACGTGGGCTATAGGAAATTGGTGAAGCATATGCTTTGTGTGCAAAAGATTTTACGCTGAGTCCTCAGCATCTCTAGTTATAACTGATGTAATGAGTTAGGTCTGCCACTAGGCAGATGGGTTTTAAATTCCCTGTACAAGCAATTGCATCCTTATGGCTAGTCTCACCAACTTCTGATTGGCAGGTAAATAGACAGAGTTGCCATTACTAAAAGTAACTTTTTTAGAATACAATTTCTCACATCCCCAAGTCCAGATGGCCACTCGTACATGCTGGCTGAAGGATTTGGCAATTTATAATCTGAAAAGATTTGTCATGCTCTAATTTGGCTACCATGAGAAACAAAATTGTGGTATCCATTCTCAATGAAACAGATAATAATAATAATTAGTAGTTTTAATCAACCCTGGCCTAAATTTAATTGCTAGTCCCAGCTAAAGTACATCCACTGAATCAATTGCTGACTGGTAAAATAACACTTATGTAAATCCCATTAACTCAATGGATCTAATCTAGATTGGACTAGGAATTAGATTTAGTCCTTTGCAATATATGTTCTACTTTGGTAGAACATATTATTATGGATCTGAAATGTATTAGGGTTTTCAACTGTTATAATGAATAAACAAAACTGTACCATCCAAATACATCCTTACAAAATACTCATACAGTAAATTCAATACTGATTTCTTTTTTTCAGCCAAACAAATAATTTCTATCCTCCCTCCCTTTAAATTAGCTCTTCATATGCTAGTCTCATTTTATTTAATCTTCCTCTTTCAATTAAATTGAATTGTCTGTGATCTTCTTAACTTCCTTTGCTCCTCTGAATTGTAAAGTGAAGACTAATTTTGGCTCGACCCCTTATTGGAATGCTGTTTAGTTGCAGTCCACAGATATTTTCTCTCAAATCCTACTTTCAAGAGGATACTTCTGCTAAAGAGTCTAGACTTATGAAGTCAGTGGTAGATACTTGGTTTGAATGACTTTTGCTCCTTTCTTATTTTAATTTCTCATCACACACTACCTGTACCTAATTTCAAGAAATGCCTTTTCTTATACTGAAACCCATCCACTCCTTACTGGCAAGTTTAATTAGCACATGCAAGTTATGCCAACACATATGCAGCGAAACCTACAAATCCCTTTTCTGTGATCACAGTTGTGAATCCATCATCCGTTACTACTAATAATAATGACAATGTTTGCAACAGAAACAATAACATGTTGTTGTTTTTAAATCTCAGAAAATCTCACCCTTGTGATTAGAGTGTATTTACAGAAAATGGGGAGGCTACATGATGAGAATTATTTCAAAAGAAATGTTCCTGCTTTTTTATCTTTTGCAGGGTTTGTCTTTTATCTTAATTTACATGTTCTCATGTATATAAAGAGCAGTTAGCCAGAGGCCTTCGCCAGGGTGTAACTATGGAGGGGTGGCAAAATGAAGGCATTGTCCCTCAAAATAAGAATTCTGTCCCCAAATTAAATGTCCCTTCAGTCCCCTGATTTCTAGCATTGCAGTAACTTAACATTTCAGTTGAGCATTTAGAAACCAAAGGAAAGGGTAGACAAAGTTACCAAGGGAATGTCAACACAGCAAATTCAAGATTTCGAGGATAAAACAACTTCCTTATTTGGTATGTCTTGCCATGTTGCCCGTTTCTCGACTTCTTTAAATGTATTCTTTATCGATCCAAATGTCATTCATTATGATACCTATTACAATTAAAACAGTAGCATGGTTACCCATTTTCTAGTCTATAAGATCTTTTTTTTTCTTTATACCATATTTCCGGCTATCTTTCCATTCATCAAGCATTTTCCCTTTCCCAAAAAAGAAAAAAAAAACGAGACAAAGATAAGCATTTTACCCTCGTCATCTTTAAATAGTTTCTGCTTTTGTTTTCTTTCGGTTTTTGTCAGTGGTTTATGAATAATCCTATTCTATGTAATTTTAGTGTTGATTGTTCATTGTTCTATACTAGGATACGTTTATTATGTGTACTATATTTTTGCAACATTGTCTTAAGATATTTGGTGGAAAGATTTACTGTGATTGTATTGTATTTTTCTTTATAATTTATTTTTTTAATCAATAAAATTTATCTTTAAAAAAAGCAAATTCAAGATTTCAAGATGTGAATTATTTTCATGGTCTCCCTCTCTGCAAGGAAAAATTGATTAGGGAGCAGAATTCATATTTGGGTTGGGATGATCAATGCCCCATTTTGCCCCTCCTCCTTTGTTATACCTTCATCTAAATCTATTCAATGTTTAAAGAGGAATGTCATCTATATTCTACAGTACAACCTCAATCCAGAAAGATGCTTGCTTACTGCTTCCTCTGTGTATTACCTGCCAATCAGAAGTTGGTGAGACCAGCCATAATAATGCCATTCATTGGTGTCTGGGAGATCCAGGACCAGATCCAGTCTTCAGCCACTGTCTGATAGTGTCAATGGCCATGCTCTGAAGTAGAGATCAGCCTTGTCAGGGCTAATGGTTCCAGCTATCTGAGTGGAGATGGATACAGAGCTTCCAGTTCAGCAGAATAATGCAGCCGGGGCAGCTGATTATAGCCTCTTACCAGAAGGATGCACAAGGAGAAAATTTCTTGTGGAGAACTGATTCTGTGAACCATTATGAAGACAAAATAATTCACCTTCACAGTGATCTTAACACCACTCTTGGATGCTAAGCAGACAGAAGGGAAAGTCTGGTTTACCTGATTTGTGGGGAGAACTCATTGTCTGCACTGCCTGCTGCCAAAAGAGCTGTGGGCAGTCTGCACCACCTCCCTTTTTCTAAAACAGACCTCCCAAAACAGGGCATTGTACCATGCCATTAATGTTTTTCTGTTCCACTCAAAGGCATATACATGCATGAATGGATGCACTAACAGCACCCACCAATCTCCTCCCTTACCCTGCCTAGCTATCACCCCATTGGATGTCCTGTGTGATCAGCTGTATGACTGGCCATACGGTTGCACAAGTGACTGACCACCCATGCAGCACATAATTGTACCCAGTGACACACTGACACACCACATTCATGGAGTCTCCCCCTACATGCCCCCTCCCCTTGTTGGACTGGCTAGTTTTTTAATGTTTTAATAAATTCACTGCATTGTTGGCAACCTGCCATGTTTGTCTTCTTTTCGCCTCATGGGGTGTGTGGTGGTACTATGGGTCAATGGTACAGCTGAATGCCTGTGCACTCAATGCACAACCAAGGGGGGAAAAATCCCTATGGTAAGCAATGGCACCAGTGGCTGCATCATGCCAGGCTCAGGGTGCATGTTCTGAACCACTTCCACCAGCCACCTGGGCCTTTCTCCCTACCTGCACCGGTGTCACACAGTCTGTACACCAATGAAATAACTTGCACTTTCCAGGTTGAACCGAAGCAAACCAGGGGATATTTTGCTCCAGGATGTGGCTTTGACCTGGTTTCCTCCCATTTGAGCTATGTGAGTCATTTAAACCGGTAAGGCTCAAAACGGGGTGAAACTGCTTCTTTTTGCCTGTGCAGACAGGCCTTTGGAAACTGTCCAAATGAGTGGTCCCAAGCACCATCTTGCCAGCATTTATGGAATCTATTTCATCCTCTGCAGCACAAGGACATGGCCAAAATGGCACTCCAAAGTAATATGTATCTTCTTGATCATTGTCCATCACAGATTATTCAAGTTAGTCCAAGAAGAAATAGTGTATCACCAAATGAAGTGCAGGAGTTGGTGTGTTTAATGTCCGCAGGAGACAATGATACAACTACTCTGATATATATATATATCCTTCTTGAACATGCTTTGCAGAACCTGGGACTGGTAATATAGAAGATAAAACCAGGTTACATCAAGGAATGTCTTATCAAGCATCAACCTCCCTAGTCACTGCAAGCTTTTAGGGAGGATTGTTGTCTGTGATATGGCCTAGGGATTTTCACTTTGCTGTGACTGGGTAATGAGCCTTGCCTGTGATGACACCCACACTGCAGAATGATTTCCCCTCTGTAATATGTCAGGCCTCAGTGGTGGCATTCATTGAAAACCTACTTTTTTATTATTTTGGCTTTCTTGTAGCCATGAACACTTTGGAATTCTTTCCTATACTGCATTAGACTGTTACTCCATTTTGTTGAATTATTTTGTGCTATTGTTGTAAACCACTTTGGGATGCACACAAGCAAGAAGCAGTACAGAGCCATTTCTAATAATAAATCTAAGTCAGTCTTCTCACATGCTGTGACCCTTGCTCATTTGATGCACATATGTTTAAGGTGATTTTCGAACCTCACAGTATTTTGTCTCTCCCTTTTCCTTAAAATACCCCA